TTAAAATTTTTTATAAGGACACGTGAAATACATCGTTAATAGATGCAGAAGCAAGATCTCATAATAAATTCTGTATTTTTTGAATATTGCAAAAGTTGAATTATTTCTTTAAAAAGGTGTTTTTCTTTAAATTTAATTGGCATTGGATTGATCGAATCTAAATCGGATCGGATCGGATTCGGATCGAATCGAATCGGATTCGAACGGAATCGAAATCGGATCGAATCGGATCGAATCGGATCGGAATCGAATCGGATTCGCAATCGGAAATTCGGAACCGGATCGAATCGATCGAACCGGAATCGAATCGATCGAATCGGATCAAAAAACGGATCGAATCGATCGAGATCGGATCGGGTTCGGATCGGATCGGAATCGGATCGAATCGAATCGAATCGGACCGATCGGGTCGGGTCGGATCGGGATAGGATCGGATCGGTCGGATCGTGTCGGATCCGTGTCGAATCGAATCGGGGATCGAATCGGACCGAATCGGATCGGAATACAATCGATCGAATAGAATCGGATCGAATCGGATCGAATCGGAATCGAATCGAAATCGGATCGAATCGGATCGAATCGGATAGAAAATCGAATCGGATCGAATCGGATCGAATCGGCAATCGCATCGGATCGAATCGGATCGAATGCGGATCGAATCGATCGTAATGCGGATCTGAATTCGGATCGAATCGGATCGGAATCGGATTCGGAATCGGATCGAATCGGATCGCAATCGGGTCGGATCGAATTTTTCGAATAAGGTCTGGATCGATCGGATCGAATCGGATCGGATCGTGATCGGTCGGGTCGGATCGGATCGGATCGGGTCGGATCGGGTCCGATCGGGTTTCAGAATCGGGGTCAGATCGTGGTCAGGATCGGGTCGGATGGGTCGGTATCGGGTCGGAATGCAGGGTCGGATCGGGGGTCGGACGGGTCGGATGCGGTCGAAATCGGGTTCGGATCGGGTTGGATCGGGTCGATCGGGTCGGATCGGGGTCGGATCGGGTCGGATCGAAATCGGATCGAATCGGATCGATCGGATCGAATCGGATCGGAAATCGGATCGAATTCTGAACCGAATCGGATCGAATCGGGACCGAATCAAACCGAATCGGAATCGAATCGGATCGAATCGATCGAATCGGATCGAATCGGATCGAATCGGATCGAATCGGATCGAATTTCGGATCGCATCGATCGAATCGGGATCGAATGGGTCGGATCGGATCGGGCATCGGGCCCGAAATCGGACCCGAATTGCGGATCGAATCGGATTGGATTCGGCATCGAATCGATCAATCGATCGGAATGCGGATCGGATGCGGGTCGAATCGAATCGGAATCGGATCGGATTCGGTATTGTTATTATCTGTTATCGAATCGGATCGAATCGGATCAAATGTAAATCGAATGTGTCGGGTCGGCTCGATCGTGTCGGATCGGGGATCGGAATGCAATCGGATCGAATCGGATCGAAATCTGATTCGAATCGGACCGGGGAATCGGACCGGGGAATCGGGATCGGGATCGAGTCGGATCGAATCGGATCGAATTCGGATCGAAATCGGATCGAAATCGGATCCGAATCGGATCGAATATCGGATCGAATCGGATCGAATCGGATCGAATCGGATCGAAATCGAGATCGAATCGGAAAATGCGAATTCGGATCGAATCGGATCGAATCGGGATCGAATCGGAACCGAATTGGATCGGATTCGAATGCGGAATAGAATTCGGATCGGGATCGATCGGATCAATCGGATTCGGATCGGATCGGAATCAAATCGAATCGAATCGATAGAAATCGGATCGAATCGGATCGAATCGAGTCGGATCGAATCGGATCGAATCGGATGCGAATCGATCGAATCGGATGAATCGGATCGGGTCGGATCGGGTCGGAATCGAATCGGATCGAATGGATCGAATCGGATCGAATTCGGGGGTCGGATCGGATCGGATCGGGTCGGATCGAATCGGATCGGGTCGGATCGGGTCGGGTCGGGTCGGAATCGGATCGGGTCGGGTCGGGTTCGGGTGGGTAAGGATCGGGTCCCGGATCGATAGGAAATAGAATCGGATCGAATCGGATCGGATCGAATCGAATCGAATCGATCGAATGTAATCGGAAATCGATTCGTGATCGGGTCGGGGTCGGTCGGGTCGGATCGGAATAGGATTGGAATAGGATCCGGATCGGGTCGGGTTCGGGTCGGGTCGGATCGGGTCGGATCGAATCGAATCGAAGTCGAATCGGAATCGAATCGACGCGGATCGAATCGGATCGATATCGAATACGGAATCGAAATCGGAATCGGATCGGATCGAATCGGATCGAATCGGATGGATCGGGCCTC